TTCTTGTGAACAAAATGCAGGTGGCATTTATTATCCGATTGAGATGAAATTTTCCAAACAATATTTTTTTGGCCCAAGGACGAACCCATTTGGTGAGAATCGGATCAAATTTAGATATAGCTCCCATATATATCTTCATCCGATTTCGTGTTAAATGTGCACCAAATGTCCACTATCAGTCCAAATTACCTGAATTTTGGCACACCCAACCGAGTTCGGCCTAGAAGCAAGTATATCAAATTTGGAGAAAATCGGTTCAGATGTAGCTATAGCTCCCATATATATCTTTCATCCGATTTGATATTGAAGTCCCTCACATTCCTACTATGCACTCCACAACCGTGATATTTGGTACCAGGTATTAGATGGAGCACAGAAATAGCTGTTTTAAATTTTATCGAAATCGGTTCAGATTTGGATATAGCTCCCATATATATCTTCATCCGATTTCGGGTTAATTGACCACCAAATGGCCAATATCAGCCCAAATGGCCCGAATTTTGGCATATGTGACCGAGATTAGCCTTACAGCAAATACAACAAATTTGGAGAAAATCGGTTCAGAGACAGCTATAGCTCCCATATATATGTTTTATCCGATTTGGTGTTTAAGCCTCTCACATTCGTAATATGCACTCCACAAGAATGATATTTGGTACCAGATATAAGATACAGCCCAGAAATAGCTGTTTGTAATTTTATCGAAATCGGTTCAGATTTGGATATAGCTCCCATATATATCTTCATCCGATTTCGGGTTAATTGTGCACCAAATGGCCGATATAAGTCCAAATGGACTGAATTTTAGTACATCGGACCAAATTCAGCCTAGAAGCAAGTATATCAAATTTAGTGAAAATCGGTTCAGATTTAGATATAGCAACCATATATATGTTTCATCTGATTTAGTGTTTTAGACCTTTACATTCGTAATATTCACTCCACAACCGTGATATTTGGTACCAGGTATTAGATGGAGCACATGAATAGCTGTTTTAAATGTTATCGAAATCGGTTCAGATTTGGACATAGCTCCCATATATATCTTCATCCGATTTCGGGTTAAATATGCACTAAATGGTCAATATCAGCCCAAATCACCTGAATTTTCGTACATAAGACCGAATTCAGTCTAGAAGCTAATACGTCAAATTTGGAGAAACCCGGTTCACAGATAGTTATAGTTCGTAAAATGCACGATAGAATTAGATAGATTTTGATTTTGTACCAAATATCTCATAGAGCTCTGAAATGCCCTGTATAAACCTTTTTACGAGAGCTCTACTAAATATGCATAGTGGTGTAGGGTATCATATAGTCGGCCCCGCCCGACTTTTGAGCTTTCCTTACTGGTTTTTTTTTTGAAAATGAACCTCAGCTTTTAGGGGAAAAAACACCATCATCTACTGAGAAAAGAATATCATGTATGTCCCTCTCTCTTTTTTGTCTCTCTCTCTTTCCTTCTTTGGAGAATAAAATTGTAGATTTTTGACATATTATAATCTGCATATGTATAAAGATAGCAATTGGGATATCGAACATGTCCGTCAAGATAAATTTAATTTTCATTAGCAAAGACACAAACCAGGCGGATTTTTTCTCCGGTTCAGAAAGGGTTAATGAAGAGAAGGAGGGAGCGAGAGAGGTAGTAAACTAGAGAAAAATTAAAATATTTTAATTTTTTTTTTTTTTTTATTGTTACAAATGTAAATTTAATAAAAAAACGAGCTCGAGGTCATCATCACATCACATCATCACTGCATTGACAAAACAGATGGCAACAACACAAGGTCGGCGTCGAAGCTTGGCGATATTTTGTAAAATTTTGTTATATGTTTAAACAGTATTGTTCCTGATGATGTCTTCCGTTGGAGGACGAAATATCGAAAATAATAAATAATTAAACAACAACAAAGACCTCGAGCTCGTTTTTTATTAAATTTACATTTGTAACAATAAATAATAATAAAGGTCGAATTAAATATCTACAAATCAAATAATTATTTTAATTAATTTTAGTTTTTAATCAAATTTCAAAATTTTCCGTACAAATTTCAAATTTACAAAGAAATCGCTAAATAAAAACATTTTAATTCAAAAATTACTTTGAAGAAGTTTGAAACCCTTAACTGTACTTTTAAACCCAGAATATACGATATAAAAACGAAGCGATGTTTAGGCTGGGCACAAATGAAAGGTCTCGTGAAGTACTTTCCGAATATACGGACCTTATAGGCAAACCGAATTTCAGGCTTAGACATTTTTCGGATTTCTAGCCATTTGACTGAGGATATAACTAAAGGTCAAAAAACTCCTTTGTTGACTCGTCTTTTTGTACTCTCCACCATAGATAGTATGGAGGGTATATTAAGTTTGTCATTCCGTTTGTAACATCTCGAAATATACATTTTAGACTCCACAAAGTATATATATTCTTGATCAGCATAAAATTCTTTTTCGATTTATTCGATTTTCAGTCCGTCTGCCCCCATATGACGATACCTCCCGATATTCGGTACTTTGTTGATTTTAGCGACATTATTCACCGGAATTGTTTCAAATTTGATATTTGAAGCTCGTGATGGATACTACAGCCTAAGACAGAAAATTGTCCGGGCAGGTCTATGTCTTCATATAGCCCCCATATGACGATACATCCCGATACTCGGTATTTTGATAATTTTAACGACATTATTCGCCGGAATTGTTTCAAATTTGGTATTTGAAGATCGTAATGGATACTACAGCCTAAGACAGAAAATTTTCTGTGCAGGTCCACGTCTTCGTATAGCCTCCATATAACGGTACCTCCTGATATTCGTCTTTTTTGATGATTTTATCTATATTTTTTCCGATTTTTTATACCCTCCACCTTGGAAAGGAGGGTATATTAACTTTGTCATTCCGTTTGTAACATCCTTTAATATTCGCCGTAGACCCCATAAAGTATATATATATATATTCATAATCAGCATAAAATTCTATGTCGATTTAATGATGTCCGTCTATCTGTCCGGCTGTCTGTCTGTCCGTCTGTCTGTTGAAATCACGACACAGCCCACATTATTTGACGTAGAGCGCCAAAATTTAGCAGAGCAATTTGTATTGTGTCTAGGATGGTTAGTATATATAGTAGTATTAGTATGTATCGGTCCACGTTCTGGTATAGTCCCCATATAACGGTACCTCCCAATATTCGGTATTTTGATGATTTTTGACACATTTTTTCAAGAATTTCTCTGAAAATTGGTAGTTGTAGATTATAATGGGTCCCATTGTAATTATAGGGCCACGTTTTGGTATAGCCCCCATATAACGGTACCTCCCGATATTCGGTAATTTGATGATTTTTGCCACATTTTTTCACGGATTTGTCTGAAAATTGTTATTTGTAGGTCATAATGGGTTTTAGCTCCTTTGGCGAAACATTGAACGTGTAGGTCCACGATTTGGTATAGCTCCCATATAACGGTACCTCCCCATATTCGGCATTTTAATGGTTTTTGCCACATTTCTTCTAATGTTTCCTTTACCCTAAGGTGGAGGGTATTAAAAGTTTGGCCCGGCCGAACTTAATTTTTATTTACTTGTTAAGTTTCGCATTTGAATATTGTAATGGCTTATGACAAATATTACCTATGAAGGTCCATGTCGTCGTAGACACCCTAATAACAGCTACATTCGGTATTTTTAAGTTTTTAACAGAATTTTTAACGGATTTTATTGTTTTTGAGAATTGCCAAATTCGTTCCAAATGGTGGAGGATATTCAAGCTTTTTCACCTGTTTTTATATGCAGTGGAAATATAGATTTTTTGTCTTTGGTGACTTCTAGTTATTTGATGTCATCATCCTTCTGAAATGATGCTTTGTTGGGGATTTTTGCATAAACGCACATTAAATATGGTTGAAACCCTAAAAAGTATCTTTAGTATATATGAACTCCTGGCATTTAGGTATGATTTAGACTTTTGATGTCTTCCAAGACCTATAGTAGAATTTCATGATTGTTTTGTACACATACAATCCCGTTTTAAGGGAGTTTTTTCCTCGTATTTTTTTTTTTTTTTTTTGCACAGCGTTATCGATGTTCTATACGAAATTTAAATCCAGTATTCAGGTCCGTCTTTGGGTCAAACAAATATTGTTTGGAAAATTTCATATCAATCGGATAATATATGCGACCTGCATTTTGTTCACAAAAATATATGGAAAGACGGACGGACGGAGAGACGGCATGAATCGACTCAGAAAATAATTGTATAAAGATCCTCAAAGGTAACTATAGGTCTATCTTGCTTCCTTCTTCATATTAAAATCAATTGCACAAAGACATAACTATGTGTTGTGGGGCATAAAAATATATTTTGTTAACCTATTAGAGCCTTCCCTATTTTCTTTAAAATTTAAACAATAGAATTATGATCCTTTTGTAGCTAAATATATATATCTCCATTTTAAGGATTCAATCTTCCATAATGTACCATGTAATTTACATAAAATCTCCATTAGTGTTCATATTTTTCAACCCAAAATCCATTTAATCAATACCAAAAGAAAAGAATGTCTTGTTTTCAATCTCCCCCTAAAAGCATTATAAATCTGCTCACATTAAATACAAATTTGGCAATAATCTAAATATGAAACTTTTGTTTATCCATTTTTTCAGAAATTTTTAGACATTACATTAAATTTGATTAGGAAATATATTTTTACTGGAATTTAATTTTTATAAGTGCATTTGTGTACTGAAACTTAATCTATCAGATTCCCCATGTCTGACTGTCAATGGGAAAAATGCAATGCCTCTTGGCAATGTTTTTTTTTTTTGCTTCTTTAGAGAAATTATGAGAAAGAAAAAAATACTCTCTCTCTCTCTCTTTTTTTGTTGACTCAATCCACTTATTTTTTACTCATACTTTATGGACTCGTGTGTGTGTGTTTGAATATTTGCTCATTTGTGTTTTTTTTCTTCTACCTTCCTTCCTTTCTCACCCACAGAATAGCAAGAGCAGCATTAGCAGCAGCAGGACAACAATTTATGATCCAGATATAGATAAAGAGAAGAAGAATAAAACAACAACAAAAGCAAAAAACAACATCATAATAAAAAAGGGAAAATAAATTCAAGATAAAAAGCAGAACAATAAACTCTAATAGATGATTAGAATATGAAGCCAATTATTGTAAATGATTGTCAATTTAAATATGCAAAATATCATCATCGTCATCAACAGCAACAACAACAACAGCACGAACACGGACAGCATCATCATCAATTCCATGCCGACAACGTCCAGCAGAGACTATTAGAAACATAAAACCCGGAAAGGGACAATTGTTGTTCCCATATCCCTTGAAGCAGTTGTCGTCATCGTCGTCGTAACAAAGGACAATCACAAGTCCAAGCAGCAGTAACAATAAAAATCCGGTCAAACAATCCGACTAACACAGAAGACAAACCCCAAGAAAGACAGAGAGAAGAAGAGGAGAAGAGCGGCCTATATTAACCAACGGCCATTGTCATCATCATCAACAGCAACAGAATCATCGAAGTAGCCACAGCAGTAGCTAAGCAGCAGCAGCTGCAGCTTAGTGTTAGTGAGCGATGTTATTGGCTACCCTGAATTTCCATCGAATGGGATGTTTGATTAATATGCAGCTAATATTTCTCATACTATTGGGTAAGTGGAACGAGAAGAAGAACAAGACGAAACACAATCATTTTTGAATAGTAAAATATTGGAAATGTGGGACATTCTAGGAAATAGGTAACACACTATTATCAATTCTTATTGAAACAAAACTGTTATCGAAAAAATGTAAAGTTGACTATTCAGAAATACTAGAGAAAATAGTTTTATCGATAATGGTTTTAAGAGAAAATCTTGAAAACGGTAAGATTTTCAAAACGAAAATCCAACTATCGGCAAGATTTTATAAAGAAAATGTAGTTATCGATAAGATATGAAAAGAAAATCCTGTTATCGACTTGATTTTTCAAACGAAAATCCTGTTTTCAACAAGATTTGATAAAGAAAGCCTTATTATCAATTTGATTTTTTCAAAAAGAAAATCCTATAATCGACTTGGTTTTCTAAAGAGATTCCAGTTATAATCGACGTGATTTTCTAAAGAAAATCTAATTATAGACAATATTTTCTATAGAAAATACAGTTATCGATAAGATATGCTAACGAAAACTCTGTTATCGACTTGATTTTCACAAGAAAATGTTATTATCGACTTGATCTTCTAGAAACTATTGTCGATAACATTAAAAACATTGTCGATAACTATCATTTCTATGGAAAATATTATAGATAGCAACCATTTCTATATAGAAATTATTGTTATCGACAATATTTTCTATGCAGAAAATATTGTTGTCGACAAGATTTTCTATACGGAAAATATTGTTATCGACAAGATTTTCTATACGGAAAATATTGTTATCGACAAGATTTTCTATACGGAAAATATTGTTATCGACAATATTTTCTATACGGAAAATATTGTTATCGACAATATTTTCTATACGGAAAATATTGTTATCGACAATATTTTCTATACGGAAAATATTGTTATCGACAAGATTTTCTATACGGAAAATATTGTTATCGACATTATTAGCTATACAGAAAATATTGATATCGACATTATTTGCTATACAGAAAATATTGTTATCGACAATATTTTCTATACAGAAAATATTGTTATCAACAATATTTTTAATACAGAAAATATTGTTATCGACAAGATTTTCTATACGGAAAATATTGTTATCGACAATATATTCTATACGGAAAATATTGTTATCTATAGAGACTATACAGAAAATATTGTTATCGACAATAGTTTCTATACAGAAAATATTGTTATCGACAATATTTTCTATACGGAAAATATTGTTATCGACAATATTTTCTATACAGAAAATATTGTTATCGACAATTTTTTCTATACGGAAAATATTGTTATCGACAATATATTCTATACGGAAAATATTGTTATCGACAATATTTTCTATACAGAAAATATTGTTATCGACAATTTTTTCTATACGGAAAATATTGTTATCGACAATATTTTCTATACGGAAAATATTGTTATCGACAATTTTTTCTATACGGAAAATATTGTTATCGACAATATATTCTATACGGAAAATATTGTTATCGACAATATTTTCTATACAGAAAATATTGTTATCGACAATATTTTCTATACCGAAAATATTGTTATCGACAATATTTTCTATACAGAAAATATTGTTATCGACATTATTTTCTAAACAGAAAAAATTGTTATCGACAATATTTTCTATACAGAAAATATTGTTATCGACAATATTTTCTATACAGAAAATATTGTTATCGACAATATTTTCTATTATTATCGACAATATTTTCTATACCGAAAATATTGTTATCGACAATATTTTCTATACCGAAAATATTGTTATCGACAATATTTTCTATATCGACAATGTTTTCAATACAGGAAATACTGTTATCGACACTATTTTCTATACAGAAAATATTGTTATCGACAATATTTTCTATACACAGAAAATATTGTTATCGACAATATTTTCTATACACAGAAAATATTGTTATCGAAAATATTTTCTATACACAGAAAATATTGTTATCGACAATATTTTCTATACGGAAAATATTGTTATCGACAATATTTTCTATACAGAATAATGTTGTCAACAATATTTTCAATACAGAAAATATTGCTATTGACAAAATAAGATATTATTGTTATCGAAATCATTTTCTTTAGAAAATATTGTTATCGACAATATTTTTCCTTAGAAATGTTGTTATCGACAATATTTTCTTTACATAATGTTGTTATCGACAATATATTTCTTTAGAAAAATTGATATCGACAATAATTTCTATAGAAATTATTGTTATCTGCAATATTTTCCATAGAAGTTGTTGTTTTCGACAATATTTCTTTAGAAAATCTTGTTATAGGTTTCGTACATTAATGCCTATCCTAAAAGGCTATTTGTCACCATTTTCTCTATCTATTGAAACTGTATTAGTTTCATTTATAGCTTAGCTGAGAACAGTCCACTTGCATTAACCTCCAACACCAACTCCATAATTCCATATGAAAAATGACTCATATCCTCCTATATTCGATAAGTTCGTAGAACAAATTACATCATTCATTATGACCATTTGATGAATTATCTAAATGTTAAACCTTCACCTCTACGAGAACATTTGGAGTGTAGTTGCCAGTGTCATATGTAAGCTGTTACTAAATGTTTTGCATTTGGACAGCCACCCATCCCTCCCTCCTTCCATCCGTCTGACTATTCTTTCGTTCATTTAACCAACTAATCATTTATAAAGTCCCTAATTTTGTTAATTTATCATTCAGTATCTAATGGCATCATAAGAATTGGTCAATGACTTGTCATTTCTGTTCCAATTGCTTGGCAAATTATGAATCATTTTCAACGCCAACATCAAAATTCTGGACGTAAGAAACCTGAATGCTTCTTTCTCCAAACACTCTGACATGCATACACACGAATACATACATATATGTGTACGTACAACAGACGAACAGCAATTTGGCCAAAAGAGTGGTAGTTGTTGCTGTTGTTGCCACTGCTGCCTTGTAGGCAAAAACGAATCCTTTAAAATTAAGAGTAATTACGAATTTTTCATCAGCATTTTTTGGTCAGCCAGTCAGCCAGCCGGCCAGCTAGTCTGTCAGTTGGACGAACAGTCCGGCCAACCCATGCATTCAACTCATCAGGCTCGCTCTTACACACAATTTACAATTTGTAATGGCAGCACAGCCAACCACCTGGTTTGTTGGTTCGCCCAAAAATTGAGCCAACTTTAAAAGGATAAGTGTTTCGGCCACCACAAGTCATTGATGAAGAGCAAACATTTGCGGGAACTTGTTCGGCTCTTTAAGGACGAAGTGCCCGCTTGTGTTTGGTTGTGTGCAAATTGTTTGGCCCATTTACATTTCAACGCCTATTGAGCCATGCTCATCAACAGCACCTCCATCCATGGCCAGTCGGGTAGCCAGGCACCCGTTCAACCTGCCAGCCAGATAGCCACTCAGGTGCCGTCAGCCACCTGGGTAATGATGGTGATGATGACGACGATGATGGGTGTTTCTTATACGGCTGATGGCCTCTCAAACACACAGAAAACGAAAAAAAGAGACAAAGAGAAAGAGAGAAATGTCAAAAGAATTTACCACAATTTCATCAAATTACATCGAGGTCGTACAAGTGTGACGAAGCAGTAAAGAAATTGCAAGAAAACACGTACTTTAAAATGGATAGACAAATACACTCACACACATACAGGCACACACAACTTTTGTAATCGGGTCTTTCTCTCAGCTTATTAAGTATAATGGTGTTTGAGACTACGGTGGCAGGGATGGGGCATTTTAATATTTAATGGCACAGAAATGTTATCGACAATACTTTTAATATAATAATATAATTACATTATCGACAATATTTTTTATAGAAAATCCTGTTATCGCTTCCATAGAATATCTCTGTAATCGACAATATTTTTTATAGAATTAATTGTTATCGACAATATTTTCAATAGAAATCATCGTTATCGGCAATATTTTCTATAGAAATCATTTTTATCGACAATATTTTTTTTGACAATTTTTTATAGAAATTAGTTTTATCCTGTTATCGGCAATATTTTCTTTAGAAAATCCTGTTTTCAACAATATTTTCAATAGAAAATCTTGTTATCGACAATATTTTCTATGAAAAATCTTGTTATCGACAATATTTACTATAGAAATGCATTGTTTTCGACAATATTTTCTATAGAAAATCCTGTTATCGACAATATTTTCTATAGAAATTACTGTTATCGACAAAATTTTCTATAGAAATAATTGTTATCGACAAAATTTTCTATAGAAATTATTGTTTTCGACAAAATTTTCTATAGAAATTATTGTTATCGACAAAATTTTCTATAGAAATTATTGTTATCGACAAAATTGTCTATAGAAATTATTGTTATCGACCAAATTTTCTATAGAAATTATTGTTATCGACAAAATTTTCTGTAGAAATTATTGTTATCGACAAAATTTTCTATAGAAATTATTGTTATCGACAAAATTTTCTATAGAAATTATTGTTATCGATAATATTTTCTATAGAAATTATTGTAATCGACAATATTTTCTATAGAAATTATTGTTATCGACAATATTTTCTATAGAAATTATTGTTATCGACAATATTTTCTATAGAAATTATTGTTATCGACAATATTTTCTATAGAAATTATTGTTATCGACAATATTTTCCATAGAAATTATTGTTATCGACAATATTTTCTATAGAAATTATTGTTATCGACATTATTTTCTATAGAAATTATTGTTATCGACTATATTTTCTATAGAAATTATTGTTGTCGACAATATTTTCTATAGAAATTATTGTTGTCGACAATATTTTCTATAGAAATTATTGTTATCGACAATATTTTCTATTGAAATTATTGTTATCGACAATATTTTCTATTGAAATTATTGTTATCGACAATATTTTCTATTGAAATTATTGTTATCGACAATATTTTCTATTGAAATTATTGTTATCGACAATATTTTCTATATAGAAATTATTGCTGTTGACAAT